TGGATTGATTAAGCACTTTGTATTTCTCCTTTTAAAGCAGGAAGAACTGGATGGAATGACTACCTAGGGGTGCATTGAGCCAGAGGTTGGTAGAGGGAGAAACAAGGTCAAAGCAGCAGGTAAAAGGATGCTGCTGAATGAGGGAGCACCACCTTCTTCTACTCCTAACACACTGTCCTGTAGTTTCCAAAGAAACGCTGGTGCAGAAGGCATGGGCCCCGCCCACTTTGCTGCTGCCTGAGTTGCCATATAGGAGCCCACTCATACAGCCATGACAAATGGGGTCGGACTTGGCCCTTTGGTCTGAATAAGAGGAAAGAGGAACTTGAATCACCTGAAGCCTATCCAGACTCCAATGCATGCAAGTGAGGTTGGGATGTGAGATGGTTCCGGCCCACATGACAGAGCTATGACCCAAAATTGAAAAGAGAGAAAAACTATCTACATTAGTCCCTGTCCTCAACTTACCATGCCTAATTGTTTTCAGACTTAAGATCTAAGTACTTATATGCTCTTTCTCAACCAACAAGGAATTGGAAGCAACTCACAAAAATGTGTATCAAGAAAAACATTTTTTTAATTAAAAATCAGGACTATCAACATAGAACATATCAACTAGGGCTGAAAGTCTCATCCAAGTGTAGGAGGGGAGGGGTGGAAAACGTGTTCATCGGAGTGTTCTGAAAAGTAGGTTCATAAAGTTAAGCAGGAAACTTGGCTTCAAGTAATTAGCAGTCAAAGTAAAAAGGGAAACAGAGCCAGTTAGATGTTTGTTGGTGCCCAGGAGGAGGACAAACATTTCCATTCCTCAAGGTAGGAAAGCCGTTTCCTAGAATTCAGACTTGGAAGAATTGATGTAAGAGATCATGCATGTGGAGTGGGATATCTCAAACCACTTATCTACCAGGGCTCTTCCTGATGAAAAGCTCTAGAAAAATCAAGGGCCGACCAGGTGCCATTGAATAGATTCTGACCCGTGGTATCCATTTGCTCCTGTATCCATTTGCTCCTGAATAGAATTTTCTAAACCAAACTACAACTAGACATTTAAGGAGTGGGGAGGACCAGATCAATCTTTCTAGAATGTTTGGCTAACATCTTAGGCTAACATCTTACATGTTAACCTACAATGTAGGGTAACATCTTACATGTGTGTGACCATGTGCTCCAGAGCATTCTCAATCGCAGAAATAGATCACCAGCCCTTTCTTCCACAGTGCCTCTGGGTGGACTTAAGCCAACATCCTCTTTTTGTGGATAGTCAAGCACATTAACCACCTTCCCTGAACAGAAACTCCTTGGGGAAAACCCCTGAGGTAGTTAGTTTATTGTGCCAACCTGGCTGATAAACACATGTGGGGTTAATTGAAGGGCAGAGGGATAAGTGGCTCGGTGAGCCTCGCCTTTCTAGTTCCCAGGTTTCTTGCTTTGTGATAGTCTGACCAGGGTGCAGCTGCCTTAGCCAGTTCCCTGCTTCAGCTGGCAAAGCTCACTTCCTACAAGACATCCCCAAGGAGAAGCAGAATGGACCTACCCCAATGCAGCCCTGGGTGCTGGAACACCCGTGTGGAGACCCCTGCCAGAGCTGAGATGCTTATACATTCATTGACGTGGCTTTCCTCCTGCAGTCGGCATCATTGCCTCTGTTTTGTGAGATAGAGGAGGACTTTGTGGATTGGTGTCAGACATATGGGTTAATGTTGGACTTGTGGGCTTGGGCAGCACTGGATGGGGATGTTTTCTTGATGCACACTTAACCTCTATATAAAATTCTCTCTTATACATGAGTTTCTGTGGATTTGTTTCTCTAAAATACCCAGACTAACACAACCCCTCTATCAGAAATGAGGACAATGTGGACCAGTACCTATCTTTCTTAAAGTTCATCTAATCTACGAAGCCACCTTTAATGATCTTGGGGGGGAAATTAATTGAATCCACTTAAAGATTCATCTGCAAATGCCATGTCCATCTATTAAGAACAGCAAGATGAAACGAAAGGAAATTTCCTAGACTAGTCCTGGTGGCACCGTGATCACATGTTGGAATACTAACCACAAAAAAGGGTAGGTAGTTCAAAATCATCAGCCACTCCCCAGGAAAAAAATAAGGCTTTCTACTCCTGTAACGCACAGGGCAGTTCTACCCTGATCTATAGGGTGACGATGAGTCGGAATTCATTCAATGGCGGTTGAGTTGAGCAGAGTGAGATGAGTCGGAATTTATTCAATGGCGGTTGAGTAGAGTAGAGTGAATTGAGTTGAGCTGAGTTTTGAGGTCTTCTCCCCTTACTATCTCATGATGGCTGTTGTTATTGATATTGTCATTTTAATGGATTCCTTTTACAAGGACATGCCATCTGAGGGTCTTTTTATTTTTATTGATTGAATCCTTTTAAAGTGCTCAGGATTGTGTCTGGCAAGTAGTAAGTGCTATATGAAAGTTTGGTATTTGATTTTGTATTTTCTGGATGGTTGTTTAACATGGTGAATGTGATTTTTTATTAGTTGGGATTTAATACATATAAAAGATCATTCTATATTTCAATCATGTCAAGTAGAATTGTACAATTGCTACCACAATCAGTTTCTAATCATTCATTTTCCACATGGACTCCTTGACATCATCGTCCTTTTACCCCTCCATCAAAACTATACCCTCCTCCCCCAGAACCCCTTATTCTACTTGCTGTCCCTATAGGTTCATCAATCCTGGGTTTCATATACCAAAAAATGGGAAAGTATGTAACACAGCTTCAAGAAGGTGACGTCCATTGACATAACACCTCTGAGATACACGCTAATATGAATGAAACAAAAACCAAAGAAAACAATACAAACCAAAAATACAGAAAACCTTAGAATTCTGATCAGATCCAGCCTGTATCATGGGGGATCTACTTACAAAGTTTTAACTGTTCAAAGATTTATACCTTGGAGCTTCTCTACTCCTCTCTCCCAAGCACTCTGTTTAGTGACCACTTTCTTCCCGTCCCTCAATTTTAGATACGGGGAGGTCTCCTGAGGCTTACTTCCGACGTAGGTCCACAAATGAATCTTGGGCTCCCACTGTCATCCATTGCCTTCTGCCCATGAGATTCTCACAATTTAGACTCTGATACTGATCCCTCCTTTGACTTTGGATGGTATGGTTCGCAATCCTTCATTGACAGATGTTGGTGCTGCTTCCATGTGGACTTAGTTGACATTCACTTAGATGTCTGCTTGTTTGGAGACAAGCCTTTAAGATCTCAGACACTATTTTATTGGATAGTTGGGCACCATCTAATTTCTTCACCACATTTTGCTATAGCACCGTATCTTCCATGTTCCCTTCCTGAGGACAAGTCTGCAGCAGGGCCATGATGTAAGAACTAATTGTTCTTAAGCTGGAACTAGGATTTAGTGCAAGCCCAAAACTCATTCCTGGATCTAAGCTTTTTTCTTTTCTTTTCTTTTAATTTGCTGTAACTATGTCATATCATTCCATAGTTCAGTCACATCAAACAGAATTGCACATTTTCTTCATACTTTTCCTTCCGGGACTCCTTGACACCATCTCCCCCATCCCTCTATATTCCTCCTGCCAAGGAAACCCTTTCTCTATCTGCTTTCCCTATAGGTTCAGCGTCCCTGGGTTTCATTTACTGAAAAACAGAGAAACAAATAACACAACTTCAAGAGGGTGACCCCCAATGGCGACACACCTCTGAGATGCACCCCAATATGAACAAGCATAAGCAACATATAACAGGATGACCCTCACAGGATTGCTGGAATAATACATATTTTAATATAGCATATAGGGCCTTGATGTAGCAAGGCGTATCAAGAGTGGTATACTGTTGGTTGGCGGACAAACAAGGCCTTGCATTTTGGTTTTTTTAATGTACTTGATTTCAGTCTGGTGTAAATAACAAAGCAATTATAAATAAATAAAAATAAGCTGATGGGGATTTTATACCTTCCACCATTTTCATTTCCTCAGCAGCCCCTCCTGAGTAAAAGCCCCTGGCTAGTATGATGTGAGAGTCTGACAGGAACAAGCTGGTGAAGGGGGATTATTATAATTCCACCCTGAGGATGATTCAAAGGCTTTGAAACACTCAGAAGACTATCAGAGCCTTTTAAAATGTCCTTTGTAGGTGGGCAGCTGGAGTTTCAGAATCCTAACTCCCTCCTTGACCTTTCCTACAGAGTGATTTTAAAATCCCAGCACAACGTTAGGATAAAAGCTGAATACTTCCCGAAGCAATCCATAAACTGGATCTCCTACATGGTTAAAAAACCGGACAGCTCAAAAAAATCTGCACCATAGTTAACCCATTAGTCTCAACAGCAGCAGATGCTCGTTCGGTAATGACCAGAAAATAATCATGCATTTCACAGAAAACGACCAAGAAGATTGTGGCAAACTGCCCGTTACAACCAGGACCCAAATCAGATGAAATCCCTTCCCCTGCTGCTTCCAGGATGCTCCTGAACTTTTCTTCTGTTACTCACAGCCTGTGTGACACGTCTCGCTGGGATCGGGTGATACAGACTCACAGCGACCCTACAGGACAGGGTAGAACTGCCGTGGTGGGTTTCCGGCACTGCAACTCTTTATGGGGGTAGAAAGCCCCATCTTTCTCCAATGTAAGGCTTAGGATAAACTATTCATCAGAAGGAAACAACTTGTTACACCTACAAACGTTTGTAAGTTTATGTGTCAGGTTCTGCTTAAATTTCATATTTCAGTCACCTGCCTATTTAAGATTTATCTCACTTTGAATGCATTCCCTATCAGAGATTCAGAATTGTCTTTAACCATTAAACCAAACCCTGTGGAGGGGATCCCAACTCAAAGCGGCCCGACGGGACTGCCCCCATAGGGCTTGGAAGGTTGTAACTCTTTACAGAAGCAGCTTTGCCACCTCTTTCTCCCCAGCCTCCAGACAGAGGTTTCCAGCGGCGCATGTCCGAGGGCGCCGCTCGCGGGCTTTGTACAAGCACACCTACCCGCTTGCTGCTCTCCTCCTCCTGGGCTTTCCTGAACTCCTGCTCCAGGGAGCAGTCCAGCTCGTTGAAGAGGCCCACCTCCTCACAGTTTTTCAGGAACCTCGTCGGAGTCGGGGTCTGATCTGAAAACAGAGACCGAAAGTTCGTCAGTGGGGTCTTTGGGTCCAAAGTCAGTGGCCAATATGAATGCAATGTACTGGTCTGCTCCCCTCCCCCTCTAAGTAGGATACCATTACCCTGTGAGCCCTGAGGTGCAATGGTTCCAGGCCTGCTTGCTAATCAAAAGGTTGGAGATGTTGAACCCCTCTGTGACCTGCTCTCCTAAAACTTGACAGCCTTGGAAACCCTCCCACAGGGGCCTCCCGAGTGGGAATCAACTTGAATGCACACAACAAGAAGTAACCATCCACCACCCTCGAGCCCTTTACATAAAAGAGAGGCATGTTCACAAATAGGACTGCAATTTTGGGAAGGTTATAGCACATGAGGACATCCATTAACACACACACACACACACACACACACACACACACCCCTGGACTGAACTTCAGGAGGTCCTCATCATATACATTCTGGGGACCGTATCTGTTGCAAACACTTTGCAACATGGCCTTTTCTTAAAAAGGGACTTAGCTGGAAAATGGCAGTGATGGCTCAAAAATTGAAGGCAGGACGATTAGAAACAACATTTAAAAGAATGGATTTCAAGCTATCATCTGATCATAGCCCTACTATATGAAAACTTAGTTCTTACAACATGGCTCTGCTTGGTATTCATCCCTTATGAAGAGGTCACTGAAGACATGGGTGTCATAGCAAAGTGTGGTGAAGAAACTAGAGGATGCCCGGCTATCATGAAGAACAGCATCTGGGGTCTTACAGTCCAGTCTCAAAACAAGCACCCATCTAAGCGAGGAGCCAGCTACGTCCACACAGAAGAAGCACACCAACTGGTGTGATCAAAAGATAGCTAATAATAAAAACCAAACCCGGAAAAATGAACAGTACCAGAGCCCAGATCTTAAATACTATGGACAGTGGTTACTGCAAACTCCATTTACAGAGTCACTTCTGTAGGATGAACCTCCAGTGAATCCCCAATACTCATTGGCTAGAAATGAAAATGACCCAGAAATCAGATGGTGAGCATTGTAAAGGGGGTTTCAGCAGGCTGTACTCAGGCTGGAATGTAACATCTTGTAATATGACCTCCCCACAGACCTGAAGTGAACTTACTCTACACTTTTAATATTCTCGGCTTTCTATTGGAATGAGGTCTCTATTGCTTTTAAATGGCCATTTTTGATGGATCCTTGCTTGGTGTATGCCCTCCTCTTCTTCTTCTTCTTTTTTTTTGAATTTTTAACTTTGGGTTTTATTTATTATTTTTTAAATCATTTTTTAGGGGCTCATACAACTCTTATCACAATCCATACAGACATCAATTGTGTAAAGCACATTTGTACATTCATTGCCCTCATCATTCTCAAAACATTTCCTCTCCACTTAAGCCCCCGGCATTAGGTCCTCATTTTTCCCCTCCCTCCCCACTCCCCCCTTCCTCCTGAGCCCTTGATAATTTATAAGTTATTATTTTGTCATATCTTGCCCTGTCCAATGTCTCCCTTCACCCACTTTTCTGTTGTCTGTCCCCCAGGGAGGAGGTCACATATAGTTCCTTGTAATCGGTTCGCCTCGACCCTTTCATACAGTTCCTCATGTTGGGGTGTCTCCCAACCATAAAATTATTTTCATTGCTACTTCATAATTGTTATTTTGCTACTGTTATGAAATGGGTAACCCCTGTGAAAGGGTCATTCGACCCCCAAAAGGGTCGTGACCCACAGGTTGAGAACGGCTGCTGTTAGGAAAACTGGAATACGAAGATACAAAATTGATTGTGACAATGACTGCATAGTCCTTCTTGATATGATTGAACCATTGAATTATGTGTATGTTAACTACAAAAAAAACCAACTTAGCTAAAATCCATTCTAAAAATCTGTTGAACCAATTTTAGGCTGACCATAGGGCACTTGAAAGAAAGAAGAATATTTTGAGAAGTTGTATATCAGGCATGAGCTTGTTCATTCCTTTTTCTTACTGGAAAGGAAAAATTTAGCAATCACATCTCTTATTCTGAGAGTTGCCCAAGGAGGAGAAAAGGTTCCAAGTCAAACACATTCAGCTTTCATTTTTAATTTTATGTTTTTGCTTTACTATAGTCAAAAGCATGTTCTGAGAATGCTCTTTAAGACTAATAGAATTTCTTCCACCTTCTTGGTTTTCTAGAAGATAAAATACTTTAAAAAGCACTGCTTGTCGCTTAAATTTATGCAGCATTTTTTAGTTTATAAAACTTTCTCACACCTTTTCTAGAACCTAGGTCTCCTAAGATCTCATAAGATACTTGGGAAAGAAATTATACTTTCATAATCATTGAGGACCATCCTCTCCCTTGATAATGGCGTACTAGAGTTGACATGGAGAAGAATGATATTTTATTTGTGAAGATGTGTCAATCAATCCTCGTTCTGGAATTTAAAACACCGTGTAAATTGCCCTTTTCTCGGAAACAGGGTACAACATAGAGCAGACAGGGGAAGGAAACCTGGTCATATGGGATGGTTTGCAAATGAGGAGAACAAAAGGGCAAAGCAATTAAGGGTGGTACAGTACAGGTGGTGACACCAGGATTATCAGCAAAGACTCAGGGCTACTTCCTCTATACACACCTATTATTCCTATCTTAGGCTACAGCAGATATTGGTAATTGATTCCCACACTTGCTGGCTTGATCTAAACCAGTGGTTCTCAACCCCTTTGGGAGTCAAACGACCCTTTCACAGGGGTCACCTAAGACCATCGGAAAACACATATTTCCAATGGTCTTAGGAACGGAGACACTGCTCTTCTATCCGTCTCCAGAAGGGTCCGCCCACATGCAGATACGCCCATGTGAAGACTGTTACCCGTGCTACACCATGCTTCAAGACAAAAGTTCATTTATTTATCATTAGAAATAAATATTTCACAATATATAATTACATATTGTTTTTGTGATTCATCACTATGCTTGAATGATGTTCAATTTGTAACGATGAAAATATATCCTGCATGTCAGATATTGACATGTCTATTCATAGCAGTAACAAAATTACAGTTACGAAGTAGCAATGAAGATAATTTTATGGTTGGGGCTCACCACCACATGAAGGACTATATTAAACGGTGGAGGCATTAGGAAGGGTGAGAACCACTGATCTAGATTCAATCTCGAAACTTTTCACACCAGTCTCTAAGCCAGCACCTAACTGGAGGCTGTTGTCGAGTTGAAACCAATTAACCAATCATGCATTCTCTTTGGTGGTGCGATGAGATAACCCTCGGACTGCTAACCAAAAGGTAGGCAGTTCAAATCCACCAGCTGCTTCTCAGAGAAAGATGAGGCTGTCTGCTCCCAAAAAGACTTAGTCTCAGAAACTTTATGTAGGTTCTATGAGTCGGAATCTATTCTATGGCAGTGTATCTGGTTTTTCTGATTTGTACTCTCTTTATAAATTCCCATTATTAGCAAGAAGCTAGAATTACATGTATTTTTCTAAGCCATTCAATAAATTACTCTCAGTAAATTGTTCATGAGAGTCAAAGAATATATGAATAACCCTAAAGTTCAAAATGGCTTGAAATCCCCATGTAGTCTACTCTTCAGAGATAAGGTTCTCTTGTTTCTCCTATGAGCAGGCAACACGCCCAACTGCTAAGCACTAAGCACTTGGATTCCAATGCAGCTACCCCTCCTGGCACTCCTCCTCACTAGTCCCCCAAACACTGAGATTGCTCTGTCATACACAGAAAAAATACCACCAAAATAACCAACCACACTCCTTGCTGTTGAGTCGTTATCTACTCAAAGGATCCTAGAGGAGACAGAAGAACTGCCCATAGGATTTTCAAGGTTGTTAAATCATTAGAGATGCAAATTGCCTCCCCCCCCCCCTGCAAAAAGAGTGGCTGGTGGGTTCAGAATGCTGACCTTTCCGTTAGCAACCGACAGCTTGACCTTTGAGGGAGCCACCAGGGCTTCTAGAACCTACCAAACACCAAAAAGAACAAACTCATTGCCATCGAGTCAATTATGATTCACAGTGACCCCACAGGACAGGATAGACATGTTCTTGTTGGTTTCCTAGACTACCAATGGTTACGGGAGTAGAAAACCCAGGCTGTCTCCCACAGAGCAGCTGGTGTTTTTGAACTGCTGATCTTATGGTTGCAAGTTCAATTTGTGAGCACTGCGCCACCAGGACTCCTAGAAGCTACCAAAGATTATCATAAATTGGGAATAATAAATAAGGTGTGTGTGAAGAGCTGGATTTCATTGACAATTGTTCCATGAGCTCATCAATTGATTTATTAATATTTTCAACATCTATATGTCCAATATAAACATGTTTGTTATGTGTTGTGTGTGTATAAAAGACAAAATTAACATTTATGCAGCAATCAAAGTAGACAGACATTTTCACACACCTTATCTGGAATCTAGATCTAACTGTAGTAAAGACAGTGGATATGATTTTAGAAATGGAGAAATAATGTGTGCAATCCTAAGTGCTTGGTACATAGTCATACAATTTATAACCATTAACAATTAATCACTATGACTTGCCATCAACCCACTGGCAGTGAGTTTGGTTGGGGTAGGTGCTATTTTTAGTCCTTGGATGCAGCAAGTAGTTCTGTGGTTGGCGGCTAACTGAAAGGTTCGCAGTTCCAGTCCACACAGAGGCACAGAAGAAAGACCTGGTGATCTACTTCTGGGGGAAAAAAATCAGTCTTGAAAACCTCATGGAGCGTAGTTCTACTCATCATCATCAGCAGTGAGACTCACCTGGAGGGCAATTTGGGGTGGTTGGTTGGTTTTTAAGTGAGACTTGAACCTTTCTCCGTCTACATACAGCACGCTCCTCTGACTCTCCAGTCTTGATTTCAGAGCTCAGTTGCAAGTGTTGGCCATGAAAAATGAGTTTTCTGCACTAAAGTGTCAGTGGACAAGACCAAGAGTGAAAATAAAAGTGTGTGCATGTGTGTGTGAGAGAGAATGTAATCTTTTTATTAT